AACCTGACAAGCATGATCTACACACAAAAACTGCTTCATTAAGCTAAAGTTGTATAGGTGACTATAGTTTTCCTTTAAGTCAACCACACAAGGTTTGGCAAACACAATCTTACTGAAGAGATGTTGTCAACTGATAAGAGCGGCATGAAAGTAGTTTGAGGAGCAACCTCTTATTATGCACATACACACAGTACGCCAGATTCTTACCAGATTATTCAAATTTTAGTTTTGTTTAGTCTTCAGTATAACAAAAGTTAAATTATTCAGCCATGAACACTGGACATGTTTCCAGCTGAAACAGCACTTTATTAACAATTGAGCCGACCCATTTCAAGTCCTGTATTTTTTAAACTGGCCATGAAACCACTCTTCAAAGCTTGTCCCACGAGAAAACACTTGCCAAGTGCCTTCCGTCCATTAGTCCCTTTACATGGGTGTAATATGAATGATAGTTCAGTGAGGGAGCAGAGGTCAATGTAGCAGTCGGCACAGTTCCTATTGTAACTGAATATATGACAGGATAAGGTTATAACTGTCCACGTAGGTAACCTGGCACAAACAGCAAGGCAGTCTGTGGAACACCGAGGCATTTGCTTGTAGCAACTTATTTAGCACTTTGCCAAGCACCAGCCTTACTAGAAAAAATAAAAAAATAAAAAAGAGGAACTAAAATCTCCATTATTTCACATCCAAATGCATTTATAACCATAAAGATACTAGATAACTTTGTACATCTACATGGATCTTATATCTGCTTTTCATGTATTACTATCATTAGGAAGAAGTGAAGTACCAGCAGTAGTACTCTTATCATGACCTTTAGAGTGAATTGCGATTTAAACTAGTTAAGTGCACAATATCGGTCAAGCTGCCAATGGGTTGTCATCCTTTTTTTCTAAATGGAATGAATATATAAGTAAAGAAGCTGCCAACAAGCGCTCAATAGCACTTTAAATCTATAATAGACATGTAAAATCTATCGTTTGAACTTCTGGGGGAAAAAATAATATATTGAATTCAAATATTAAATTACATTTAATAAAAGGAAATAGTAATTGTTCTTAATTGCACTTGACAATGATCAGGCAGGTCTTATTCGAATATTAAATACGTGCAATTAGGTCTTATTCGAATATTAAATATGTGCAATTATTTTTTATGGAAAAAAGATGCATAATTACATTTTGTCATTTAACCGTTTTAAACCCTGAGTTTGAATGGCACGATGAAGCACACATTGTGAAGCATGAGTGACTAATCCGTACATTGTTTCATGATGAATTATATAATAAGGATGAGACTCATGCAAGCTGGTACACAGGTATCAAATAAAAAGCACACACAATGCGGATAAATAAACCTAAGACAGAGTTGAATTGTTTATACAGGCTCTTAAATATAAATTTTATCATCTCGAATTTCAAGGCCTTAATCAGATGGCTTTAAAATAGATAGATAACATACAGGTACATATTTAAACACACACACACACTGAGAAGAGTGTAGAGCTAGGAACAGCTAATTTATCAATTTGAAAATTATCGATTATGAAAATGATGAATTAGTTGCTGCAATCTAGCTGTATCTCTCAGTCTCTCCTCTTACTTTACGTGCTCTGGGTGATGAGACTAGGATTAACCAACCATTTGGTTAGGAATAGGATTAACGGACCACTATAGTGCCAGGAAAACAAACTCGTTTTCCTGGCACTATGGTGTTAATAGGTTCCCCCCCACCCTCATGGCCCCTCTCCCGCCGGGCTCTAGGGGGAGGAAGGGGTTAAAGGCTTACCTTTCTCCAGCGCCAGGCTCCCTCGGCGCTGGGGACTCTCCTCCCTCTTCCGAGGAATGCCCGCGTGCTGATCTTCAGTCAGTCCATAGGAAAGCATTTCTTAATGCTTTCCTATGGACCAAAGCATCTTCTCATTGTGAAAATCACAGTGAGAAGCACGGAAGCGCCTGTAGCGGCTGTCAATGAGACAGCCACTAGAGGCTGGATTAACCCTAGTGTAAACATAGCAGTTTCTCCGAAACTGCTATGTTTACAGCTGCAGGGTTAACACTAGATGGACCTGGCATCCAGACCACTTCATTGAGCTGAAGTGGTCTGGGTGCCTATAGTGGTCCTTTAAACAGTATTGCAAAAGGAAATCTTTTTATCCAGTCCATGTTAGGGGAAATACAATAGATTTCCAACTCTTGGCTGAACATCATCTCACTAATCTGTATGAGCAAGAGTGTGGTAAACAACTAGTAATTAGTCTGAGAATGAAGAAATTCCTTTCTCTTAGGAATAACAAGTCCCTTACAATTAGACAGGCTGTTAAGGGAGGAAGTATTACAGTTATATATACCACTATGTTTGTAAAGGAAGCCTCAAGGCAATTAGGTCACAAAACTTCTTATGTGGATGTATCATACAACGGCACTGTGACATTTAAGAAAGTTATGAATGAAATTTTGACTTTTGTATGTTTAGATGGGGTTATTGACAATGACCTTATGGAAGGTTTGTTCGTAAAATAACGTATTGTTCCTATTTTCACCACTTGCCTAAAGTCCACAAGGGGTTTGACAATGTGGTGGGTTGACGGATTGTTGCAGGGATCAGTTCACTGAAGGAACATGTAGCCAAACTAACTGATTTGTATCTACTTCTATCCTATTTTAAAGTTACAATGCATCTTTTGAGTTTGTAGAAATCTCAAGTTTGGAATACAGAATGGTTTTGTGTGACTCTGGCTGTTTGTTTACTGTATTCTGTAATTCTTAATGACAAGGGCTTGTTGGCAATTAAATACCATCTTGACCATTATAGTGACTATCATGAAAATTAAAAAAAAAAAAAGCTAAATTTTCAGAGCTACGGAATACTTCCTCACTCAATTTTTTGACTTTTATTTGATTGATGGGACTTCAATGAGCGCAAAATTTGCACCAACCTATATAAGGGTAGATGGAAGGAGTCCTACATTTATTTAGAGCATGGGTCGTCAACCTGGTCCCTACCACCCACTAGTGGGCGTTTCAGGATTCCAGGTGGGCGCCAGGGATTTCAGAGATTGGGTAGGCGGGAGGGAGGGTGCGAGCCACCATTTTCGTCCCCGGCCCGCGTGGCAAACCGCCGGGGCCGCCACCCAAGGGGTCCATCGGGTGGCCCATGCTGTCAGGGCCACCCGATGGATGTGGATTGAGAGGGGGCCCGGTCAGTGCTGGGCACTTTAACAGCGCGACCGGGCCCCCTATTATTACATCACACGCTGGGAGGAAGTGACTGCACGTCACTCCTCCCAGCTAAAACTGAGAGCCGCGCGGGAGGAAGACCAGGGAGTGGGAACTCTGACTCCCATGCACCTGAGCCACCACTGGACCCCAGGGAAAGTCACCCTCCTGCACCTAAAAGGTAGGAAACAGGAGGGTGACAAAAATATTTTGTGTGTGTTTGTTTGTGTGTATGTGTCTTTGTATGTATGTCTTGTGTGTGTCTATGTATGTATGTCTTGTGTATGTCTTGTGTGTGTCTATGTATGTATGTCTTGTGTGTGTCTATCTGTATATATGTGTGTCGTGTTTTTGTATGTATGTGTCTTTGTATGTATGTGTCTTGTGTCTGTCTGTATGTGTGTATGTGTACCTGTCTGTTTGTATTTATGTGTGTGTCTGTATGTATGTGTACCTGTCTGTTTGTATGGATGTGTGTGTCTGTATGTATGTGTGCGTGTGTGTGTGTGTCTGTATGTGTGCCTGTCTGTTTGTATGTATGTGTCTTTTTATGTGTGTGTGTGTGTGTGTGTGTGTATGTATGTGTGCCTGTCTGTTATAGTGGGCTATAGTAAGTGGGCTACCGAGCTAAGCCTTCCTACTGGGCATTGCTATAAGGAAGGTTAAAAAATAGAAAAAAGGGATAAAAAAGGTGGGGAGGGGAATTGAGGAGGGAGATGAGATGAGCTGACGCACAGATGAGAAATCATATTATGCGCAAACAGAGAAGTCGTCTGAATATCACCGAAAGAGGAGACCTTCGTTTGTTCCTTACGAAAATCGAACCAGATATCAAATATTTAGTCTTGCAGCATCAGCCTCAAGGATCTCATTAATCACTAGTAAAGGTAATTTCAATTTACTTTATTGTTTTCCAATTAAAATTTATAAAGTTAAAAACATTATAAACATGCATTATGTAGAAATAAAAAGATAAATGTATGTACATTTATTTATTTTTTAAAACACCCTACTTTCTAAAAAATATTCCTCACTTGCGCGAAAACTGGTGTGCGGTAAGGAAATTTTTTCATCAAGAAAGATGCATTAGTGGGCGGTAGGTAGAAAAAGGTTGACTACCACTGATTTAGAGAGAGCCTGAACTTTGATTTGTCATGTAATATCTCTTTTTATAAACATTTTATATAGACAACCTGCTTATTATTTGAAAAGGTTGAGCCCCCACCACAATTATTGGAATTTGAGCTCAATGCAAATTATTTTAATTTAAAGTTTACTATGAATTTTATGTTTAACTGGGTAGGGTTTCAATATAGTCACTAGTACTAATTGAGAGCCTTGTGCTAGTAATACCTTGCTACATGCTACATCCAATTATCTTAAGCACTTAATAAGAGGTATCACTGCAGGACAGATCCTTTGTTTAACCCCTTCAGGACGGAGTCAATAGTACACGTTCTGATAAAAACAAAATGTAAACAAAAACTGGAATTTGCGCTATATGTCTGTTCAACCATAATTCACCTCTTTCGTATTATGTGCACCCACACTTATTATCATTTTGTTCAGGAGAAACTGGGCTTTAATTTCTCATGAACTGTTCATATTTGAAATATAATTTATTCTGAATAAAATGTAAAAAACTGTGAGAAATTGGGGGGCGTGGCCAGACACCGTGCGAGATGGAAGCACACTAAACGAGCTCCGCTACCACGGGCTCCATAACACGGCTAAAACCAAGCATCTTCGGTGTAACCTCCGACCCAAACAACAGGAGCGATGTCCCAACACCAGGCAAAGAAAACTGCGGAGGCAAAAGACAAAACAGCCTTCTTTGCGGCCAGAACGCCTCAGCATAAACTCGCCGATCCCCAGGCCCAAGATGGCGCCGACCCAGATGAAGATGCTGAACGCGACTACACAGTGAGTAAACAGGAAGATAGCCCACTAACACAAGGCTTCCTGTAAATCATGCTAGACGCAGCGGTTACCAAGATGCAAACCGCTGTTACAGAAGCAAAAAATGACCTAAAAAAGGGCCTCACTGACCTGGAAGCAAGGGCCTCCCACCTTGAGGGCAACATAGAAAGCCTTACAGGGGCTCAAATTGAGACAGAAAAGCGCCTCAGCAAACTGGAAGAACAACTTTACAACCACGAGACTAAAATTGCTGATGCAGAAGACAGATCACGCCGCAACAATTTACGCCTGAGGCATGTACCAGAAGATGTAGGAGCACAAGACCTAACGGCCTATTCGGTAGATGTTCCGAGCGTTACTGCCTGATATCCTAATGGACATGTTTCTCCTAGATCGCATTCACAGGCTCCCCAGACCGCAACACCTGCCACCCACCACTCCAAGGGATGTCCTCATGAGACTCCATTATTATCACGTCAAAGACCAAATACTACGGGCACATAGAACCAAAAAGAACCTACCTACTCAGTTCAAAGACATTCTCATGTTTATGGACTTATCCGCAGAAACATTACGTCGGAGGAGATCTTTTAAGATTATAGCGGACGCACTGAGTTCCCACAATGTCCCATATCGTTGGGGCTACCCGGCCAAACTCCTTATCTCAAAAGGAGGGAAGCTCACAGTTGCAGCTACACCAACAGAGGGAATGGACCTCCTGCGACAATGGGGTATGTCTCGGAACCTGCAGCCACCCCCACGGGACCCCAGAAAATCCTGACCTGAAGAATGGCGCCCCCAGAAAATAAGACGCACATCCCCGAGAGAAGACTGATGATGCTCGAGATACAGCAAGTTCTAAACAAGTTCAATTTAATATTTACCAGTTATGCATTGGGTTAAAATGTAATGATAATACAGATAAACTATATACTTATCTTGCGCCCCTGTGACCTACCCTCTTTAGAAGAGGCGGGGCAGTTAATTTGTAACCCCAAAGAGCCCTACCAAAAACCCTTCATTAATTAAAACAGAGCACTGCCTGCCGACTTCCGACCTTTATGGTCATGGCCTCTACCGCTACAACGCGGGCATCCTATTACCCTTAGAGGTGTTAGTTGCTCCAACCACTAAATATTAATTACCAAAAAATGGTCGGAGGAAACCAGATTCACGTTGAGCCCGAGGTGACCTCCACTCGACCCGACCCGGCCACATTACCCCTACTTAGGAAGCGCCAAGCTTACGCACATACCTCTTAAAGTCAACATTGTAAGATACTTTCTTTAATTATTGTTTGAATGTTTAACTGTTTAATTTGTTTTACTTTGCTCCACAATTTGTATTGTACACTTGGTACCAATCACTAGGCACCAAGACACTGCTACCCACTGACCGTACTAAACTGACGAACAGACCAGACATACCGGCAGGCCCAACACTCCAACAGAACTGAGACCGCCTCCCCCCACTACACTGAGAAATAACCGTACCACATAACAAGAACATATCACGACACACACCCCACGCACATCACCCACGGAACATAAAAAAATAATTACCCATAATGTTCGCGGCTTGAACTCGCCCAATAAAAAACACAATCTCCTTAAAGAACTCAATAACACACAAACGGACATCGTCTGCTTACAGGAGACACATTTCAAACAAAACTCTAACCCCATTCTGGGACTCAAACACTTCCCTCATCAGTTCCACGCTACCTCCCCAACCAAAAGTAGAGGAGTGTCGATCTTACTGAGCCACACTCTGGCCTTCGACCTAATCTCAATGGAACCCGACCCACAAGGTAGATTTATCATCCTAATATGCACATACAACTCCACATACATGATAGTGAACTCTTACTCGCCAAACGTCAATCAGAAAACCTATCTGGCCTCCCTCTTGGACAAAATAGAAAAGCTCCAAACAGGCACCACAATCATCTGTGGGGACTTTAACCACATTCTGAACCCTAATGCAGACTCTACAGCCCAACACTCAACGAAACGCAAAAAAACCCTACACAAATATTGCAACTCCATGAACAAACTACTGGCATCGCACGGTCTCTATGATGTCTGGAGAACCCTACACCCTAACGACAAAGCATATACCCACTATTCCCAAGTCCACAATACATACTCCTACATAGATGGATTCCTCATACACAACACCCATCTGCAACAGGTCAGAACGTGCGAAAAAGGAACATCCACAATATCTGACCATAACCCCGTGTCGTTAATACTCGCAGACTCATACCAATTCAAAAATCGTAGCCCTTGGAGAATGAACGAACACCTCCTCAACGATCCTTCCTTCAAGGAAAAGACACAGAGAGAAGTGAACCATTATTTCACGTCCAATGCCCCTAATGACCCAACCCCAGCCACTCTATGGCTGGCACACAAGGCAGTTATTCGGGGAACCCTGATAAGTAGAGCAGCATATCTCAAAAAGATTAACCACAACACACTACTCACACTCCTCAAAAAAGTTCAAGACCTCCACAGAGCAAACCAAGCAAATCCCACAAAGATACTCCAACAAATACAAAGTGCACAAAACGAAATAAACGAAATCCACCTACGCAAAGCAAACGCAGCGTTAAAGAAACTTAAAGCCACTTCCTATTCACTGGGAAACAATGCTTCGAAACTGCTAGCCCTAAGACTGCGAAACAAACTAGCACAAACGAGAACACAATTCCTAAACACACAATCCGGGCAAAAAGTAATACAACTCACACAAATATGCAACGAATTTGCTAACTACTACAGTACCCTATACAATCTGAAAGACCCCCCAAACTCGCCCTAACCCGCCCCAGAGGCCATAAGAGCCTACCTCAACAAACTCTCACTCCCCATTATCCATCCACAGCAAGCAGCAAAGCTCATCACCCCCATCACCATAGAGGAGGTGCTACACCAGATAGATGCAATGCCCAGAGGTAAAGCACCAGGCCCCGATGGGTACACAAACACGTATTACAAAACGTTCAAACACGAACTAGCCGCTCCTCTTACCCAATTATATAATGACGCAACTAAAAAAAGCTCTCTCCCCACTGAGTTCCTATCAGCGCATGTCATCACCATCCCTAAACCAGGGAAACCCACAACCACATGCCAAAACTTTAGGCCAATATCACTGCTCAACGCGGATGCCAAGCTATACGCAAAAATCCATGCTGACCGCCTCAAAAAGATACTACCTTCCCTAATACACACATCAGGTGGGATTTGTAGCGGGCAGACAGGGTCTGGAGAACACCAGAAAAGTACTTAATATATACCACCTCTTGAAACATACTAAACAAGAGAGCATCATGCTCTCGCTAGATGCCGAAAAGGCGTTCGATCGCCTAAACTGGCACTTCCTACACGAAGCCCTAGTACTCTACGGCTTTCCACCGCCCTTCCTGTCTGCAGTTAGAGCCCTGTACAGTAACCCCACGGCCACAGTTCTAACCTCGGGATTCTGTTCAAATCCATTCCCGATCACCAATGGCACCCATCAAGGATGCCCATTATCTCCCCTTCTATACGTCCTGGCCCTAGAGCCCCTAGCAATAGCCATTTGCAAGAACGTCACCATACATGGAGTGTCAATTGGCCAACAGGAGTACAAACTCAACCTCTTCGCAGATGACATACTACTCACGCTCACCCAACCACTCATCTCACTCCCATCACTACACAAAGAATTACACGCATATAGTCAACAGTCCTACTACAAACTCAATATCACCAAAATACAAGCGATGTGTCTCAATGTACCTAGAACCACTGAAGACATCCTAAAAGCGGCCCACGAATATGACTGGAGAGTTGACCACCTAACATTCCTAGGCATCATAATAACTAGCAAAACCAACTAACTATTCACAGCAAACTACACAAAACTGCTACGGGAAATAGAAAAACAGCTACAAGGTTGGAAAAATCTATTCCTATCCTGGGTTGGGAAAATAGCAGCGATCAAAATGACAATACTCCCCAAAATCCTGTACCTTTTCCGGTCCCTACAAATTAAGATTCCACAAAACTATCTGGCAAGCCTACAAGCAATCCTACTACGCTTCAGCTGGAACAGAAAACACCCAAGACTCCCAAAAGCCCTGCTCTTCAGACACACAAAACAAGGAGGGATGGGATTCCCGAACCTAAAAGCATACTACCACTCAGCCCTCCTCACGAATGTCATCAGCGCACACTCAACGGAACACCCCCCCCCCAGTGGGTGGTGATAGAAAGCCAATTTTGCACCAATAGAGACCTATCTTCCATGCTGTGGACCCCCCAACACATGAGACCACGAACCACGGACATGCTACCCACCACCAAACTTCTACTATCAACATGGGACGGCTGCAGAGAAATATTATGCTCGGCTCATCCCTGGGCGCTGGCTGCCCCCATTAGGACACCACTGTAACGGCACATTCCCACACCAAAAATGGGATGAAAGAGGTATCACACACATGTACCACCTCTACATACCTGACGGTCTGAAACCCTTCCCAGACTTACAAACTGAGTTTACACTCCCTTCGAACTTCACATTCGCTTACCTCCAAATGAAAGCACTTCTGAAAAAGAACTCGATTCACACAAGAAAACAGACACTTCAAACCACAGCAACGAAGTTCGAATTACAATGCATGACAATGCTACCCCCGAAGAAAGCGCTCTCCAATTGCTATTATAACCTCGCAAACCCCAACACAGACGAAGTGTGGAAATTCATGAAGGACTGGCAAGAAGATCTCCAAGAGCCTGTCACTCCGCAAGAATGGACAAAAATCTTCACAGCTCACGAAGGACTGACCACCTGCGCAGCCCATTATGAGACATTGCGCAAAATACTATATAGGTGGTACATGGTACCCTCTCGGCTACACTCCATATATCCCGAAACGACAGACATATGCTGGCACTGCAAAGCGCACAAAGGCACCATGCTGCACATATGGTGGTCCTGCAACACCGTGAACGAACTCTGGAAAATAACAGAACGATTGGTTCAAGAAATCAGACTGCACCCTACCACACGAAAGAAAAACAATACTCTTAAGATCGCTGCCAGATAGCATCCCCAAACCAGCAAAGAAAATCATATATCTCATATTGAGCTCAGTATCCACTCTAATAGCGAGAAACTGGAAGACCCCGACTCTCCCTTCAATCCGAGAAATTATAACCCTAATGTCGACAACTGTGGACTACGAACTCCTCCTGTGGAACCAAATGAAAATAGGGAAACTAAGTCCAGCCGCAGATGAGATGTGGTGCACCTACCTACTAAAGCAGTAGACACCTACACACACACCCGTAGCCTAATACGACGAAAGGCTA